TGATCTTGGAAATACATCAGGATAGCGTTAATTGTTAAAAATAATAAAAGTGTGAGAGCGGATGTTCAACTTGCTCTCGTGCTTACGCAATTAATCATTATCAATAATAAGACAACATAACGTACTATACATTCAGTATCGTGAAATTACAATTCGACCACACCGTAATACGTCTCCGCCACGGTCACACACCAGTGGTACGTGAGGTACGTAATTACATGATAACACTAAAATATGTAAACCAACAGCAACACTACTTATCTAAATGTAACACAGGGCAGCCACTCCACAACACCAATCCTCCTTGCCTGCACTAGAAGAATTACAACAACGAACAGAACCACGACACTATCTTAGCACTAGTAGAATGACCACACTCGTTGAATGACCTAGGCGGAATCTCCCGCGCACGGCACCTACAGTGAACTTTATACTACAGACACAAGAGGGGGTTTCTCGATATATCCTCCATTATACCTTGATCCAACCGGGTATTTTATAGACGCTCCGACATATATATTGTATTGACGAGACTATAATAAATGTAATGTCGCAATTGCTACAATCTTAATGAACTTATTATAACCTAATTTGCTTAATTTCGTGTAAAAACTAAAATGATGTGTCATGCCCAGTTTGAAGAGCACCTTCCCTCAATCGTCACCACCACTCCCAGCACAGCCATTCCCCGTACAGCCATTCCCAGCACCACCACATCCAAAACTACCACACTAGGAACGAAGACACCACTCTAAATAATACGACACATGTTTCGCCTCTACACGAGGCATCCTCAGGTGAATTAGACTATGGAGGCTGGCCGCTAAGCTCTCCAAACTGGGCAGGACACATCATTTTATTTCTTTACGCGGAATGAAACAAACAAGTTATAACAACTTCCTTGTAATGGATTTCCGCAGAGTATCGCCTGATTTTATTTCCAGATTCCAGAGATGTATATTCTTATTCCCAGAATCTATCAACAAAATATCTGTGGTCGTAATAGATAACAACAATGTAAAAAAAGCCGCGACTGATCATTTGAGAAAACAAATTGAGTTCATATACAATGAACCTGTCTGTTCAGTACCTCGAACACGAATAATTAACAATTGCGTCATGAATTCGTATAGAGTAAGCTATGCGAAAACTTTTACCAAACTCTCACTATTGTCTTCGGCAGGACGAACGCTTATCTTTTATTCAAGTGTACTCAATACTATATTGTAACTATATGTAACCAAACCTTAGAACTCAATGTTAAAAGAACGAATGATATGTTTATAAATTGCAATTTGTGAAGTCTTTTATTGCGCGTATAAATAATAAAAAGTGATTAAACTTATCAATAATAGTGAGTTAATTAATATGAAATAATTATTAAACAAAATCCCTTTTTTATAATTATACATGGAGGATCATTTTTATGTTTATTGTTTACATCTTGTGAGTTATGATTTCCGAACGCGATCACTTTAAGATTAAGTTTAAACACTTGACTTCGCGCGCTACTATTTCATACTGTGCTTCATACTAGTTTGTGGCTTCGCGCTTCATGTTGTGTTAGTAAAGTTTTGTGTTCATAGTTTACAATAACGGTATAGTTCATGAAAAAATAAGTAACTGTATGTTGATACACAACAACATTCATCGTACATTGATGCCTGTTAAGTAATGAATATTATGTTTATTTCTAAGGAATGGTGATTTATCGCAACCACAGAACTTACCACAAGGGCGACAGTGGTGTATTAGAAAGTGGAAGGAGGAAGTGATTTCCTCAAGGAATCGGAGTCTCGCAGTGAAAAAAAGTGAGTTCTAGTTTTATTTTTCTAAAACTGTCAATCCAAATCAAGAGCGCTTATATAGACATAAATGCACCGCTCATTTCATGTAGTCAGAATTTTCAGTTAATTATCGTTTTATTTGGTTTGCTAAAGGTGTGGCGTGATTTAAAAAGAAAACAAAAGGGAAGTGGGCAAACATTAATAGAACTGTCATATAGTCGAGTGGCGGCGCATAAGGACGTGTCGTACCGTTTAGTTAAAATTAAATCATTCTTAATAAATAGTGTCATTCTAAAATCATAATTATTGCAATTACAATAGAGTTAATTTATCATTGCTAGTGTCAGTGATTACGTGCCGTGTTGTGTGACCTTCACAGTGAAGTTGCCCTCCGGTTATTATTACATCTCACTCGCATAACACAGAGTAGTTGGAGTTCAGAGAAATCCTTCAAAAAAATGCAACACTCACCTCCTAATAAGCGTCACGATTCTGATCCAGATTTATCGAGCATAAACAAAAGAAAGCGAAAGAACGATCATGATCACAGAATTATTCCAAACATTTACGGATACCATATTAAAAAAATGATAACTGGAAAACAGAGTTCGATAAAAATCTTTCACATATAAAATACACATTAAATGATATTATTAAGAAAGATCTTACAAAATTAAAGGCAGATTCTCTGGAACTCAAGACAGAGATAAAAAATGCTCGGAAGGAATATACAGAAGTAAAAGCATGTGTCGCAGTACACTCAGTAGTGTACAACAATCCAAAAATAAATAATCACACTTCAAAAATCAGTGCAGTTTAACTCTAACTGGCATGATGAAACCATCAAAAAGATTGAAGTCGTATCTGATCACACAAAGAAAACCAGCAACTTCAAATCGGAAATTAATAATCCCAAACTACAAAATAAACAATTAAATCGACAAATGAACATTAACGAGCAACGTGACCGACTGCTAAATGTGGAAATTATCGACATATCAGAATCAATCAACGAGGACCTGAACGATACTATCTTGAAAATATGTAAACACATCAGAGTTAAAATCAATATAAATGACATTCTGCAGGTTAACAGAGTATCCCCAAAAGTAAAATTGCCAGGTCGATCCAGGGTTGTCAAAATGAAATCAAGGCTCCTGAAAGATAACCTAATATTTCTATCGCGTAAAAATCATCTAACCACTAAGGACATTGGGCTAGCGGGCAAAAGCAGACCAATTTTTATCAACGACTACTTAACCTCTCACAATAAGCAGCTCCTAAAAAAGTGCAGAGATTTTGCTAAATCGTATCAGTACTAGTTCATCTGGACAAAAAATTGAAGAATTTACTTACTATACTATATATCTTACCGCATATTAGTCGTACATTACGCTCAATAAGTAAACACTTTAATATTCTATCACAAACTCACGTAAAGCCATACATATATAATATAAAAGACAATCTTTATTCGTTACTGTTATTCTGCGGAAATGGTATTTTTAGCGTGTGCGAGCGTGAATCTCACTATGCAACAAGTAACTGAAACAGAAACAGAAACAGAAACTTTTTTATTCAATAAAGATTATAAATAATACTTATTGAAAGTCACTCTTTTGTATGATTACCACTGAAACATACTTAATACTCGTAAACATAAATTTACCAATAGATATCCGTGGTTGATATTTATTTTTATATCATTTGTTTCCGGTAAACTTATAAGACAGTTACAATTTATTGAACTAAGATATGTTTAAAATGGCGGTCCAATATAACAAATTAGGGAAAGATTTATCTATTTACTATCAAAATGCCTGCGGACTGAGAACCAAATGCGGCAACAAATTTTATGCAATGAGTATGACATTATTGTAATCACAGAAACCTGGTTGCATAATAGGATTTTCAATGAGTTTCGGCATAACCGTGATCTGGACTTAAGTTGTAAAAAAATTGGACGAAGTGTTATGACACTGGTTCGCTGCGGACTAGGCGCGACGTGCTGCGAAATCACCGCCGCGGTTGTTGCGGGTTTCGAGCCACGCACGGAGATTGTGACGGTGTCGTGCCGGCGCGTGCGCTCGCGGCCACTGCTGACCTAGCGCGATTTATATTCCACCTGACTTGGAGCGTATTCCGGGAGATATAGAATGCCTACTGCAAACTCTAATCATTTTATTCGTGAGGCAGCTTCCTATGGAGCCCCACTCCCCTCTCGCTATCTAGTTCAAAGACCGAGAAACTCTCTCATTGAGCTCCCAAACAAGCTTTTAAGCCGACTTAAACCGCCTCCTGGCAGCTCAGGCTAAATCTTCTCCCCGCCTTTAATTTGCCTTAGTTAGGCTCCCCTCTCAGCGGCTCCTCGCCGCCTGCGCCCCCTCTTTCCTAAATAGGGCGCTTCCTATTCGGCAGAAAGGCCACAAAAGCCAATGCCAGTCTCACAGGTAGTGTTTAGTGGGTAGGCACTTAGGTTTTCGCAGTGAGTCCCACATAACCACGGCAGCCGGCTATCGTGGTATGCTTAGAGCATTCACCATCTCCCTTCCTCGTTTCCCGGAGGGTAGCCCTTTCCATTGCATTTGAGCGCAAAAAAAACCTACTGCAAAATCTTACATGTATAATTGCATGTGGGTGGGTGTGGGGGGGGGTGTTGAAGTTATAACAAAAAAAACCTACTGCAAAATCTTACATGTATAATTGCATGTGGGTGGGTGGGGGGGGGGGGGGGGTGTTGAAGTTATAATAATAACAACATTTTTTCTATTAACAGTTTGTTTTGTATTTCAGATTAAAAACATAAGATCAACTTATTCACAAGAGGTAAAGAAAATTAACGATTCAATGAAATCTGGAGCTGGAGCAGATTCCATATACAAGCCGAGAGTAAAATGGTTCGACATACTACACGATGTGTTACGAAGCGTAAACCTAGAAAATAGAAAGACGCAGAGTAATATGGTATGATTTTTTTCTTACATAAAAATTAATGTATCATTCGTGCCTCGCCCATAAAATAGTCTATATCGAACTTTTGATGATTCTGAGCCAGTTGTGTAAAGCACAACAAGCTTTTACAATTTTATCAACAGTGTTTGGGCAATAAGGCAGTGGTTTTTCGAATATTTGAAATCTACTAACTAATATCCCGAAAGCGTTTTCAACAGTACGTCTAGCACGAGACAACCGGTAATTAAAAATTTTTTCTCTTTATGTTAAATTTTGTCCTCCGAATGGCTTCATCAAATAAGGCTTCAGAGGGAAGGCAGCATCTCCGACTATAACATGAGATTCTGGTAGCAAGCCATTTTCCAAAATATCACTTAAGTTGCAGTTTCGGAAAACTCCTCCATCGGATATTCTACCATTGCACCCGATATCGATATATGAAAAACAATAGTTGTCATCTACCAAAGCCATTAATACAAGGTTATTCTGTTGCTTGTAATTATAGAAATAGCTTCCTGTTTCAAATGGAGCTTTAATGACGACGTGCTTGCCGTCAATTGCTCCACAACACCCAGGAAAGTTCCAAGATTTTCTAAAGCCATTTGCAATTGCCTCCCACTCTTCAGAGTATCTTGGTACCTGAAAGAAAAAAGAATATTTGTATTATTTTAACTAGCTGCCGAAAATATTTCACTGACTTAAGTCTATTATTTTTATTTCAGAATACCATTGAGGATAAAGAAGACATGGAAGAGAATCAAGATGCTCGAAATTCTGAGCTTGTTAGTATTGATGATAGGCCAGTTTCTGGTCTAACCCGCCCTTCAAGAAAAAGAAATATGAGAGGTCTGAATTCACTTCTAGACAGAGCAAGAGTAGTGGTAAGCGAGCTCAACACGGAATCAATGATCGAAAAAGAAGGCACAAACGAATTCAAATTGTTTGGCAAAAGTGTTGGCGTCCAACTAAATTCCATGAGTTTAGAAAATGCTTTGCGGGCGCAAAGCGTGATACAAACCTATCTTACAAAAGTGCGATTGCAGGAATTAAAAACCTGCAATCGCACTTTTGTTGTTCTTACACCATCTCCGAGTTATGTGGCTACACCATTTCCGAGTTATGTGCGTACACCATCTCCGAGTTATCTGTCCACACCATCTCCGAGTTATGTGCCTACACAAACCACTTATGAGCATACGTCTACTCAAGAAGCTCCTACAGATAGTGGACAATAATCTGTGTCTGAAATACCTCACTCTGTGAGTTTATTGTGACATATACTCCTAATATTTCATCTGATACAGCACATTTCAGCCACGACGCTGAAATAAATCTTGATAGGGGTGATTTGCTTGATCTAAGTGACGAACAAACTGCAGCTCAACAAAATAATGATATCTTATCACAGGCTATGGCAAATATTCCTATGTAGACATCGAACAAAATTACTAATCAATGTAATTTTGTTCAACGTCTACATAAGAATATTTCATTGTTTCAAAGTATTAAAGTTATGTGATTTATTATTAAAGTTTTATAAAGTTATGTGACAAAATTACCCAGTTTCAAGTATTAAAGTTATGTGATTTAATATAACTACACGATGTTTTATTTGCTCACCTGTATAAATTCCTCCAAAGCATTGTAGATGGCATCACAAATTACAGGAATCATTAACGAAAGGCTAGATTTAGCTATTCTGAAAAAATGAGATAGGCTCCTCAAATTATTTCCTGTTGCAAGCATATAAATAATTGCTTGGAGTTTTATTTTGGCCGGTATTGCACTGATCATGTGAGTATCATTTTTTTCTATAGCAGGCCTTACTTTGTTTAGTAACCAATTGAAGGATTCTTCTGTCATTCTCATCGAATCGCGATATTCTTTAAGATCTTCAATAACCAGTTCTTTTAGCAACAAAGAACTTACTCCAAGCATGGATCTGCGATTAATCCATTGGACGCTCCCACATTCGTTTCGGTTTATTTATTTCGAATAAAATCTCGTCTTCTATTTGTTCCATAACAACAGTTAGTATTTTGCGTAGAATAGAGCGTATTTGCCGACATCGTTGCGCGTTCATTGTCTACTGGAAGAAATGTAAACGTTCACTCACAACGCACTAAGGCACTAAATAACTTGCTTTTCAAGTTGTACTAAAATACTCTCCTAAACAGTAAGATAATGTAAATCAACAAACACTACATATTGAATAAAACGGTCACGGGGGACCCATGACCACGGTTGCTGGAAAGCTACCAAAACGTCGGGAATATAAAATAAGTTAATTAAACGCGATAAAATCCGTAAAATAGTTTTATTCAAAATTATAGTTACTAAATTTTACTTACTTACTTACTTACTTATCTTCACGCACAATCCCTGACGGGGTAGCCAGAGAGAACAGATCGCCAAGTGTCACGATCCTTACAAACCTCTTTCGCTTCTTTCAGATTCATTATCTTCTTCATGCATGCACGTCTAGGTATCCGAGTACTTTTGACCCTACCCTCTTCGAGCAATTTGCTCACATGGTCTTCGAAAGTTAGTCTCGGTCTACCTCGACACCTTTTAATATTAACTTTCGCGCTATATATTTTCTTCACCATTCGGTCTTCACTCATTCGCTCAACGTGCCCAAACCACCGAAGCACGCCCTTATCAATTTTTGTGATAAGGTCATCTTTCAAACCTGCCATATTGCGAATCTCTTCGTTTCGCTTTCGGTCGGCCATGGTAACGCCGCACATTTTACGAAGAGATCGCATCTCCACTGCATTCAACTTACTTTTATGCTTCTTCTGGCATACCCAGGTTTCGCTGCCATATAACAAAGTCGGTACCAACACTGCGTTATGTATTGCAAGGCGTGCACTCTTCGCTACGCCTTGCCTTTTGACTAACGCAGTCAGGGCACCATTGACTTTGTTCCCGGCAGCGAGACGCCTGTCCACATCTAAATCACATCTTCCATCCCGGCTAAAAGCACTCCCCAAGTATACAATTTCATTTACCTGTTCTAGACATTCCTGATTTACCCATATTTCACACTTCGTTCTCTCTTCGTCCCTTTCAAATACCAGAACCTTAGTTTTATTAGCATTCAAACGGAGACCTTTAGTTTCACATTCCTCTTTCATACACGTGACTAATGCCTGCAGTTCTGCCTCTGATGGTGCTATAAGTACTGCATCATCAGCATACAACAGACAATTTACTTTAATGTCACCCAATTTCACACCCAAACAGCTATCTTTCAGCTTCTGTAAACAGCTGTCGAGATACAGTATGAACAGCCAGGAAGACATGACACAACCCTGCTTTACGCCCGTTTGGACGTCAAACATGGGTGACAGGTCATGTCCTACCCGCACACAGGCTTTACAGTCACAGTAAAGAGACTGCACAGCCCTTAGCAATCGACCATCCACACCATACCCCGGCAACAGTTCCCACATTTTCTTCCTTACAACCTTTTCCCACATTTTCTTCCTTACAACCAACTAAATTTTGCCCAAATAAAAAAAAATAATAATGTTTGTTAGTAGAAGAGGCAGTGTAAACAACAAACAGTTATTAAGATATACCGATCAACTTAATAACTTAAATGTACACAAAATTGTCTTGTTCACACTGCCTTATATACAGGGATTGCCACAGGAAAATATTCTCAAACATAACTTAAAGTTACAAATGAAAAAAATCATATGTAATTATAATTTAAATTTGACATATAATTGTAATGATAATAATGACAAACTTCATTTAATTGACATAAATAATGTAATTAAGAAGTTTTGAACAAACGATAGATATTACCTATCCAAATATAATTTAAGAATGGTAGCAAATGTGCTATCTTATTATTTACATTTTGACTTAGCCAAGTTTTTGGCTACGAAGACTGTTTCTATTGAGCAGTGTAATCATTTGACATTTAATTCGGAATCAGTTCCAACTAATTTAAATTAGTGAATCCGACAATAAAAGCAATGTCTAGCAATAATAAGAGTTTAATTAATTTAGAATGCAGCCCACAAATAAGTAATAAGAATTGTTCACAACTGGTGCATCAAAATTAACAAGGCATGATGGGCAAAGAATTGGAAGTTGAATTGTTTTTAAATAGTAACAACATACATAACCTTTGTATTACTGAACATTGGCTAAAAGATTATAATTTAATAGCCGGATCCACACCGGACGATCCAAAGCGCTCCGATCGCGCGCGGCATGGAGCGGGTTCCACGGAGCGTGAAGTGTAGACAGACGTGCCGCGCGCGATCCATGTGCGCGGCGGAGAGTGCGCGCTCCTCGCCGCGTGCGATCCATTTGTTGTCGGTTTTTTGGTCACGCACAAAGGGGCCTCAGTCGCTCAGTCAGGTTGTGAGAATCGCGTGATCCGCCGTTATGAATAATTCGCAATGTATCCGTTTAATTTCCCTATATAAGGAGAATAAATGTTTATGGGATCCTAATGATACCAATTACACAAATAGAGGTGTAAGAGAAGATGCCTGGCGGAAAATTAATCGACAAATGAACAATATTCCAACAACAGAACTAAAGAAAAAAATGAAGTCTTTGTCGGGTGGCTACAGAAGAGAACGATTCAGAAAAAAACAGAGTCGTATTACCGCATCAGGTAAGAAATTATAGTTCCTTTTGTTTTATAATTATAGTTCAGTACATAACCTACTACTCTTAGTGAAGCTTTAATTTTAATTTATTAGTAATAATAATAAAATGTATTGTTTAAAAGTTTTGCGTAGGGGAGTGACTTCACGGACATTGATATTTGCCGGTTATATTAATTTATTGTTTATTTCAGGTGCTGAAGATACTTACAAATCAAAATGGTTTGCTTACGATGAGTTTGCTTTCATGGTGGATAAGAATAACCCCGGGACAACAAGGGATACACTCCAACAGGTGAGTTATTTTTGAAGTTATACTTCTTTTGGCGCGATGGAGAAAAATGATGAGAGTGAATTTTTACGATGCGCGCGCACACCGACACCTGAATTCTAAATTGTAAAGTTAGTTGCAGGTGGCATGAAAATCGATAACTATGTTCAAGTTGTATATTCTAGTATTTTTATATTTAGAACACGTGTTTCGTTACAGTACAATTAAACAGTGTGAATAAATAAATATTATTTTGGTGTTTTTATTAAATCAATTTCATATACGACGGTGATAGTAGTATTTACTAATAATTATCTAAAGGTATATTTTTGATTCAATAATCAAATTTCATAGTGTATTGAAAATTTACTTGACAGATGACAGGTAGCTTAAATTCGTTTGTATTATTTTGTGTTATCTGTATAGGTAATGTTTTCTTTTGGTGTCAATAAAGTATATTTGTATTTATGTAATAAAATTTATTTCTTATTATAATCTAGAACTTAGGGAAAGGATAGTTTTAAATAAAATACATAGTTAATTGGTTAAAGTTGTCGTGAAGCGACAATTAAAAACAACAGAACCTAACCTAACATCAACGAAACAACAAAAATAGAACAAAAACGAATAATTGATTTAAAATTTAAAAAGGTATTTACAGTTTTATATAAAAAGTGAAGTATGATGATGATGATGGGTGACGTGAATTACAAGTATTTTAAAAAAGATAATAAAGATAAATGAGTACTGAAGCGAAGCCCGAAGACCAAAGTGGCACACCGCGCTTGGCGGTGGTGCTCACTGCTCACGGAGTATAATCAGGCTGTGCCTGTGGTAGGTGCGCAGCGCCTGGTCTAGGCACACGTAGCACCTGGAGTAGGCACACGCAGCGCTTGGAGTAGGCACACGCAGCGCCTGGAGTAGGTACACGCAGCGCCTGGAGTAGGCACACGCAGCGCCTGGAGTAGGCATACGCAGCGCCTGGAGTAGGTACACACAGCGCCTGGAGTAGGCACACGCAGCGCCCGGAGTAGGCACACGCTGCGCTTGGAGTAGGCACACACAGCGCCTTGAGTAGGCGCTCTCAGCGCCTGGAGTAAGCGCGCACAGCGGCTAAAGATAGCGCGGGCACTTGTAGGTGGAGGCGTGGGTGAGGCTAGGCGACGACTTCAGGTGAAGGTAGAGGCTTGCAGGATCCCGGGGCAGTGCGGCCCCGGGATAAGGCCTTTAGGAGATGCTTCAAGTTTGAAAGCTGAAGCGAGACTCAGTTTATTGGCCGATTGTTCGGCTTTTATACCTTTTTAGAGAGTTCCGCGGTCGACGGGAAATTATTTAAATTAAAAGCAAATTTTTGTAAATGGCCAAGAAGAAAAAAGTATTTTTGTGGAAGTATTGAAGTAAAAACATCAGACCGGTAACGAATTTGAATAAAAATTGCCATGACAACCAGATAAACAACGATGTCAAAACATGTCAAATTTTGGTTTCGGGCTCGTAATAGAGTAACGGCAAGATTTAGGTGAAAAATGAGATATTATTGATATAGGAAAAAAGGTAGCGCACCAGCGCGCACGAAGCCCGAAATTGCAGAGTTACGGAGAACTAAATAAAAGATCGAAAAAGGTAGACTCCATCGACACCGATTTAAAAAATGCTGATAGCGTGAAAATACGAAGTGAAATGATTTGTTATTGTGTTCCTATGGTTTAAAAACGTTACAGGATCCTATGGAAATAAAGGTGATACAAAATATCCAGTTTTGAGGTGAATGCAGAAAATCAAAACAGAATGAAAAAATGAATTTAAAATAGTGTAAAATTATATGTAAGTAGCATAACACTACAAAGTATAATGAACTTAACTAAAATTATATTCCTCTTAATGCAGCTAAGTTATAAAACATATAAACACAGTACAATTTATATAAGTTTATTGGTACTCATTTTGCCAAACAATGGCCCCATTTGTTATAAAGTGTGTTGCTAAGTGGGACCGAATATCCTTGGCATTTTGTGATGCTCTTCGTGGTATGGCATCTATCGGTAGTAGTGATGTTGGTGCCTGTTCCGTTCGCCAGCTTCCAGGAACTATTTCTCCATTCCCCTGTATTGTAACAAAAGATACCGGTGATCTTAAATTAGAATTACTTCGTAAATAGTTATACAGGTAAACTGTCGCTAGCACGACTTTAATTGCTTTTTCTGGCTCCAACAGCATTGGTTTACACAAAACTCTGTAACTTGAGCTTAGTACTCCAAACGTGTTTTCTACAACTCTACATGCTCTTGATAATCTGTAATTGAACATTCGTTCACTCGAACCCCTTTCTGGATCACCTTCATACGGTTTCAATGTATACTTATTTGATTGGAAAGCTTTATCACCAAGTATAAAATAGGGCACTTAATTTTTATAAGGAACTTGCAAAATTTTTGCCGATGGGATGATTAGCTCCTTTTTTTCAAGTTTCTCATATAGCTTTGTGCTTTTAAACACGCCTCCATCTGATATTCTGCCCTTACTCCCAACATTCACATAAAGGAACCTATAATTTGCATCTACTAATGCAAAAAGAACTATACTTGGAAACAATTTATAGTTATCACAGTCGTTGCCACTATTAAAAGGCACTTGCAAAACGACATGTTTACCATCCATTGCTCCTAATACATGTGGAAAATTCCATTTTTCGTCGAATTCCTGAGACACTGCGAGCCACTCTTCTTCATTTGATGGCATCTGAAAAAAGTGTAACTATGATTAATATGTTTTGTTATTGTTGTTGTTACAGGAAGAAAGTAATAGCAGCACTGGTAGCGGAGAACATGCTATCAATGAAAATGCTCTAGAAAACGTAGACAATCACACAACTGAGAATGTTAATAATCAAATGCAAGATATGAATGATCAGAGTATACCAACTGAACCTTCTGTACCATCTGTGCAACCTGCTGCCCAATCTAATGTAAAAAACACCCAACACAATGTTCAAACCCAAAAAAGGAATCAAAATAAAAGAAGAAGAAAAAAACATCTTCACATGGTTCCGAAGATATTATGATAACAGATGAATCCATTTCGGAAGCATTACAACTACTTCATCAATGTGCTCAACCACAACAACCAGAGACAGATTCATATACCGCTTTTGGACAGTACATAGCTACCGAATTACGAAAATATGATCATATAACGTTAACTTATGTAAAACATGCCATATCTCAAATTATTTTTGAATCTGACACAGGCAGATACAGGCCAGAAAATTATGGATATTACTCTCCAACTTCATCATATACAGAACGACCTTCAGAATCAACAACAACTCAGCTTCCATCAACTTCATTGCATACAGAACGACCTTCAGAATCAACAATGACTCCACTTCTATCAACATCTTCTACTACTTCGACAACTTGGCAGCCTTCTTCGTCACCACAATCACCACCAATTTAATTAACATATGTAACTTTTATATATTCTTAAGTATAAGCTAAGTTTGAAATAAAGAGTTTAATCTTTTAAATCTATAATTTCACTTACTTTTACATAATCCTTCAAAACGTCGATGATTGCTCCACAAACCTCAGGAACAATTTTTGATATTGACCGTTTAGACACTCTGAAAAGATACTCTAGACTGACGTAAGAATCTCCACTTGCTAAAATGTCTTTCCTTAACAGTTATGACATCACGATAGTTTGTATCTTTCTTTCTTATTTTGTTCTCCAATAGTGAACACAATAAGTCAAATTGATTTGCAGTCATTCGTGCAAAATTAGCTTCAGCTCCATCATCAATAAACTCTTTGTAAAGTCGAGTCCCATATTCCAACCGGTTTTTAAAAATTATTTTAACCCAATACTGTCTTTTTCGTTTTCGTAATTTTTGCCGTAAATATACAAGTAAAATGTAGCTTGCTGCTGCTACGGCTATTCGTCGCCGTCGTTGCACGTGTGACTCCATAGCCAGACAAAATTCAACTGATTCAGTATGGATCGGCAGGAGCGCGTTGGAACAGCCAGTGAGGATTCGCAAAAGATTACTGTTGGATCGGCCTAGAACGATCCACGCTCCACGCATCACGATCTTGGATCGCGGATCGCGGGATCGCCGATCCATTTTGGATCATCCGGTGTGGATCCGGCTAATGGTTAATTTCAGAAATCACCAGGTGGTCAGTTCCTTCCATAGAGAAAAAGTTTACGTGGTGGCTCCTTAATATTAGCCGATAAATCATTATTATATAAAGAACTTAAGGATATTGTGAGCCTCTCTGTTGAGCAAACTGTAGAAATAGCTTGTGTCGAACTCGAGCACCTCATTGTTGTGTTTAAAGACTCCTGTGTGCTACTTACGAATATTTTGAAATAATTTTTGAAGAAGTTTTGCTCAAACTTAGTAAACAGAACAAGTCTGTTGTAATATGTGGAGTCTTTAACATCAATCTTCTTGAAACTTCTTCCATTAGTATTAAGTTTAGCTCGTATAATAAATCTTAAATCGTATAATCTTTTTAATTTATTCTTAGAACCGACACGTATTGCTGGGCCTAGTGCAACCTGTATAGATAACATTTTTACAGATGTTAATCCCTTGCATAAATCAATCATTCAAAATTTAAGTTCAGATTACTGTGGACAGTTGGTCTCATTGTATTACATACACAAAAACAAAAATGAGAAAGTTGTGTTTGTTCCAATAAATGAACATGGTTTGGAGAGGTTTAGAAGTAACATAGTAAAAGGACTTCCATCATTTTCATTTAAAAATAATGCTGATTATTCGTATGGTTCATTATTTATTGTACATTAATTATTTATTATTATTATTATTATATATATTTATTAATGTACATTATTTTAACAGTGGTAGAGCCACGCGGCAGCTGTTTCTTTCGCACGGATGGGCCGGCTCAAACCGGGGTGGTACCACGAACTCACAGAATACCAGCGTGAAGTAGACGTTTACCTCTGCATTTCGCTTGGTGAGTGCAGGTGGCCGGAGGTCCTTTTTACTGGAAATGATGCATTCCATCTTAGTCCTCACGGGTGACAACGCATCTGCATTTTGATTTGTAATAGAGGATAGATGTAGATGTCTTTGGGCCACGGCAATCACTTATCATCAGGTGGACTGTGTGCTCGTTTGTCACACTTATCCTATAAAAAAAAATTATAACTTGTGAATTTAGTAGATTATTTACTTCTAAAACTTTCGCTATAAACAGTTGCAAATCATTTAATGAATGGGCGACTGTAGGAATTTATAAAAGAAGACGAAAGTTATACGAGCTTTATAATGAAAGATCATATAATCATAGTGTTATATTTAGAGAGTCATGTTATAGTTAGAGTTGCTCCACAAGTAAAACATTACATTTAAGCAACAAAATAAAAACTGCATCGGATAAAATTAAAATGACATGGAGTATAATTAATAGTGAAACGGGCAAGATCAAACCATGGAACTCAGATTTTCAATTAAATAATAACAATAATTTAACTCAATCTGACCAAGAAGTTGCTATGGCTTTTGAGAAACATTTTACTGATATTCTTTTTTTGATACAGTATTATTTGCTTACGATACCTCCTTGATTTTTAAACTTAAACATCTATCATTTAAATGTGACGAAGTGAATAATGCTATATCAAAATTAGTGCATTAGTTTAACGCTAATAATCTACATTTAAACGGAGATAAAACTAATTGTGTTAAATTTACAACAACGAATGTTAAACATCTGAGTACAAATTAAATGAGGAGGAACTGAGCCCAGTTGTATCCACAGTTTTTCTTGGCATCACTCTCGACGCAAAGCTTCAGCGGGGCCCCCATATATCCAAATTAGCAAGCAGACTAAGTTCTGCAGCCTATGCTGTAAAAAAGATTAGAGATCTCACTAGTATCGAGACAGCTAGATTAGTTTATTTCAGTTATTTCCATAGCATAATGTTTTATGGGATTTTGCTATGGGGGAATGCGGCTGATTCAGAAACTATTTTTGTTTTACAGAAGAGGGCCATTAGAGCTATTTACAATCTAAAACCGAGAGAGTCTCTTTTTTTTATAGGATAAGGGTGACAAACGAGCACACAGTCCACCTGATGGTAAGTAGTTGCTGCGGCCCATAGACATCTACATCTATCCTCTATTACAAATCAAAATGTAGATGCGTTGTCACCCGTGAGGACTAAGATGGAATGCCTCATTTCCAGTAAAAAGGGCCTCCGGTCACCTGCACTCACCAAGCGAAATGCAGAGGTAAGCCTCTACTTCACGCTGGTTTTCTGTGAGGTCGTGGTACCACCCCGGTTCGAGCCGGCCCATCCGTGCGACAGCAAAAGCTGCCGCGTGGCTCTACCACTGTTTAAAGATAAATTTAAAGAAATAAATATATTAACTTTGGCCTCTCAGTATATTTACGAGAATTTAATGTATGTTCACAAAAACAAAGGTAGTTTTAGTAAAAAAGTGATATAAATTCTGTAAACACTAGGAACAAACACAAGCTAGTGATACCAGTTTCTCGACTCCACAGATTCAGTAATTCATTCTTGGGGCAATGTATACGCTATTACAACAAAGTCCCAGAAAAAATACAAGGTCTTTCTATTACCAAGTTTAAATATTTAACTAAACAAAAACTGTATAAAAATGCTTATTATAATATAAATGAATACATGGTTGATAATAACTCCTGGGAATGAGGTGGTCGCTTCCAAGCTATTTCTAAAATAAATTTTGTAAATAGTTTGTGATCATTTATATTTTCAAAAATGTATTTAAAAAAAGTCCCGCTGGGTTTCTCTCTGGTTTTTCCCAGGACGGAGGAGTTTTGTCGAACCAGTGGTAATGTAAAAAAATTACTTTCAATAAGTATTACTTGTAATAAATATTGAATGAAAATAATTCTATTCTATTCTATCAATTTTAATGATCATAAACTTAAAGTCACGACCGTGAACGTGTGTAAGTTGAAACAAGAAAACTAGGAGTGCACCACGCGAGAGTTAACCAAGAAGAAGTTGCCGGCATTCACCAGGTGCGTTTCCTCCATTTATTTTGTATCGGTTGAAAATGCTGACGTAATGTAACTCACTATCATCTACACAATCCACTTTGCCAATTTCGGCATATAATTTGAAATCACATCACTACATTTTCTGGTCACTTTGCTCGGATTAGAACCATATTTTGTGGTCACTTCTCCCGGATTAGAACCACTTTCTGGTCTATTCGGCCGTATAGAATATTTCGAATCGCTCACCATTTTTGGCCAACTTTGGTGGTATATTTCCATGAACCATAGTCATAATATATAGCCATATGTAACCCATATATTTAT